TTGCAGAGATGCTTGAATTATGAGATGATGCTACTGATCAGTGGATTATTCTACTGATGAATTTTTAGCTGGGTGTGATGTTGGGAGATGAAACTTGGTAGGAAGAAGTGGGTAATGTAGATGTGGCCCAAAAGAGTTTCCTCTCACACATAGCATGCCTGCTATGCCATGAAATGTTTCTTCTGTGCCATATCCATCTGTCTACCATGTAGCCCTGCCTCAGAGCCAGTAGACTATAGATGGAAATCTCTACAAGCTGTGAGTCAAAATAAACTTCTCCTTTAACTCATGAGTGTCAGGTATTTTGTTCCAGTAATGAGAAAGTAACTAAGATAAATTTGGGTACCAAGAGTGGGGCTATTGCTGTGATACTATCTTGGCTTGTGGGAGGAGTGTAGAAATATTTGGAGATGCCAGATAGAGAAGCCTCCCTAGAATGCTGTGAGCTGAGCTCAATGGAAGATTCTTGTTAGAGCTCAGAAGACCAGAGTGTTGACTGCAATGGAGCCAGAAAAGACCAGGCTCAAGGGGTTTCAGTTGGGAAGAAGGACTCTACTGTCAATTGGACTCTAGGCCACATGTGTGATTCTCTGGCAGAAAATTTGTCTGCATTTTGCTTATGTCCAGAGACTTTGTGGGAGACTGAGATCAAGGGTGGCAGACCTTGTGGAAGAAATTTCAAGACAGTCTACTGTTGAGGTGGAGGCATGGCTGCGGTCAGGGGATTTTTAGCCAGCCCTACCTTGAGAATCAGGAGCAAGCAGCCCAACTAAATGATTTTGAAAGTTTTAAGTTTGGCCAGAAAAGAAACTCCAGCAAAGTTGGGGCCTCTAAAGATGGAGAAGAGGAGAGCTTGGTTGCTCAAAATATTGCATTAAGAAGAAGTTAAGCACTTTGGAACAGGAAGAAATGGCCTGAAAGTATCACAGGAACCAGTAGGACCCCACTTTTCCAACACTCAAAATTGTAAAGATGAAAGACTTTGCTTTGAGAAGAGAGCCATAGAGCACCTTGCACCAGAATAGTGGCAACCTAGGAAATGGGAATTGAGTCACTGGAATTCAGCTCATCCCACTAAGCCATCTAAGTACTCAAAGGGTTCTGTAATCACCAAGATGCAAAAGGGCTCAGCTAGTGCTCCAGCTGGTGGCAAATCTTGGTGTCATCCACATGATCCTGGTTTTAGGCCAATGCATAATGCAAGAGTTGTGGGGTCAGAGAGGGAGGCTTCCACTCAGATTTCAGAAGAAGGCAAGGGAGGCCAGGCAATGTTCTAGGGCAGTGCATGAATCTGTGAGGGTGAAACCAGGGTAGTGTAGATCTCAGAATATTAAGACGCCAGGAACTTGGAATGTCTGAGGAAAGCCAGGAGGAATAAGTAAAGCCAGCCCAAGAGTGAGGGCATGAAGGCTACAACCACAAGCAGTGCTATTCAGGTCGGGTCACCTAAACCCTTTGGAGTTCACGTTTGCCTCAGATTCCCCTGGGTAGTAGGCAAGGAACTACAGGATTTAATGTTTTTCCTGCTAGATTTCAGTCCTGTTCTTGTTCCATTCCTTTCTATCCTCCTATTTCTTCCTTTTAGAATGGGAATGGTTATCCTGTGCCATTCATTGTATGTTGGAAGTGTTTAACTTTCTTTTCATTTTACAGGCACTCACAGCTAAGAATTTGCCTTAAATCTCAGAAGAGACTTTGGACTTGAATGTTTAGCAATGCTAAAACTGTTAGGACTTTGACAACTCTTAGAGATGGACAAATGCATTTTATATAAAAAGATGCAGTGAATCTTTTAAGGGACAGGGGTGGAATGTTATGGTTTATATCTAGATGTCCCTCCAAAGCCTTATGCACTCATAGGTGGGCTTCTGGGAGGTGACTAGATCATTGGTGTGAGATACTCTTCCCTGGATTAGTTCACTGATGGGTTTATAGCTGGGTGTGATGTTGGGAGGTGAAGCCTGGTGGGAAGAGGTGTTCACTGTGGGCATAGCTTGGAAGGGTATCTATCCCTCATCCTCCCTTGATTCCTCTCTGCTTACCACTTCCACACCATGAGTTTCCATTTATATTCTTAAATGTCAAGTCATTCAAAAGGTAACACACTTTTATGTATTTATATTAGGTACTGGACCTTTTCTGAGTCACTGCTCTGGCTTTACTACTATCAACTCCTGGAAGATCACTCTAAATATATAGCCTTAGAAAAACTCAACTTAGCTAAGGATGGTGATGTCTGCCTATCATCTCAGCAATCTGGAAGTCTGAGGTTATAGGAGTAAATTGAAAATGCTTCTTTTTTATGTTTTTCTTTTCTTTCTTTCTTTCTTTAAAATCTAGAGCCTCTGTGCTCTTAGGATCTAGATGTCTTAATAATTGACTTGAGTTTCTTTTTCTCCCAGGGGGGTAATCTTCCAGAAGGTAAAGGAAACCTCAATGCTGCAATTATTTGAAAGTGTTGCTCTATTACACAAATCCAAAGCTGTTATGAATAACTATTGCTGATGTTTTGGCAGATTACCAAATTACAGATGGCTCAGGGCCCTACTCACTTATCCATGGCAATAAGTCTCCCTCCTTAAAAGTATAGAAGCTTCTAAGAATGTAGGACAGAAAATGTACTGCTGTCTGATTCTACAGGTTCATTTTGCATAACAATAGAATATAGTTCCTAGAATTATTTTAGTTTTGCAGACAATCTTTTAGGAAATACACATTTCTCTTCTAAAAAAGACTATAGAATTTTTCAAAATATTAACTACCAAAGGAAAGGACAGCTTTCAAATAGAGTAAAGAGGGATATAGGTCACATTTCTCTACTGGTAGAATCTAAAACTGGAATCATGAATGTGCATTTGGTAGAGGGAATTCATTTTATCTCAAAGTAGTAATTTTTCAGTACTTGTAGTTGTGACATATTAATTAACTTTATGTTTACTCTTTCTAGAATTAAAACAAGACAAGATAGAAACATTGGAATTCTACTGCTTCATTTTTTAATAGGATCTGATAAACTACCAAACAACAGGAGGTAAAAGTAACTTTTAAAGCTATGAGATTTTTACAAATCTACTATTTGTTCAATACTTTGGGAAGAATTCCTTTTCCATGTATAATGTCTTGTTTTTAATTTATTAATATTTATGATATTATAACATTTATGATATTAACTTATTACTCTGATCTTACCTGCTTATTATCATTCAATTTTTATCTACATAATAAATTTACACTGATTAATTGCCATTTACCAGACTAGAACATTATGTTCACAATAAATATGTGGAGGACAAGTTTGGTTTGACCTTAATGAAGTTATTGTTAGGTGAGAAATGTTGAATATTTAATATTCATATTTCAATATGGTGTTGGAATGAATTTGATAAGGATAAATCTCAAAAATTTAAATAATTTGTGTCTTTGGTTCTAGGCAAGATTTAATAAAGATAAGCAAAATATACTATTTTAAAAATTAATATTTTACGATCACTTCAGGCTCTCTTTCACTACTCAGATATCTCACATATTCTCAGGTCCTAAAGTATAATCTAATTTAAAATCTTGCTTTGTTATAATATAAACCTGCATACTTAAGTTTTGATGGAACTGGTGAATATTTTATTTTCCACATTTACCGCTATCTTGAATGATGATAACATACTATGCAATTTTTCTCTTAGTCACTTTTTTCTCAGTTAAATACTACATTTCTCACAGTTTTCTTCATTCTGTTTAAACTTTTAAAAGATTCTCTGATTCACTTCTTCACCTTAGAATCATTTATCTAAACAGACCTATACACATATTAATTTTCAGCCTAAGTAGCACTGATGTTTTGGTGTAAATTATGGGACCGAATGCTAAAATATATAATAAAAACAATAATGGTTAACATTTATTGACTACTTTGCCACAACCGGTGTCAAGTGATTTACCTTCATATGCCATTTTACATTCATTCATAAGAAAACTTTGAGGGTTATTTTGTTCTCAGAACCCCTTTGTATATAAGAAGACAGTGACAGAAAATATAAGGAACTTGTCCAATGTCCCATTTAGAAAGTGATGGTTCAATAGTATTCAGCTCATCTTATTACTCTATGGGTTAAATGAGGTACTATGAAAGCATTTAGAAAAGTTCCTGGTATATTTAGAAAGTCACATAAAAGTTTGCTATGATTATCATTGTCCCTGTGAAATCACTCATATCCTGAAGTGAAAGATAGAGTACATCATACTCCCAATAAAAGTTTAAAATATATGTGAACTAACGAATTAGTGGTAGTTATGAAGACATACTCAAGGTAAATAAAAATATAATTTGCAGTTATTTCATATACATTTTGTTCAGTTTCCAAAGCAATTGTTCTATAGACCTCTTAAGTAAATATAAACCATGGCATTGGAAACAATGGGAAATTTTCTTTATGAAAATGTAGAGATGGTGCATCCAGGAGACAAATCATGGAATATGAGAATCATTTTTATGATTGATTGTATACACCTTTTATTTTAGTAGCTATAAAACTTGCATTAGAGTTCAGTTTCCATGATGCACAAAAAGCAACTGAACATCTTAAGTAACTCAAAAAAAATTCAGTCACTTTTTATACATTTGTTAGTATTCTAAATTAAACCTCCAAGTTTTCCTAATCTTGACTATAAGAGATCCAGAGTACTAAAACTATTTCTGAATTAAATTTATTATTTGTTCTCTTTTTGAATCATTGTTTCATGATAATGAAGCTACTGTGTAAATCATAAGGAGAGATATGTAGTGTTATTTGAAAATATGAAAGGTATTATGGTACAAAAGCATTGCATTAGATACACAGAAAGAAGATCAAATTCTAATCACTTTCAGGAATTATGAAATAAAAATGATATTTGGATTCAACATCAGTTGTTTGAAATTTTTAAGTAATAAAATTAATAGGAAGCTAAAATTAACAATGATTTCACGATAGCCTTGTAAATACAATGCTTAGAGATTATTTGTAATGCTAGGATCAGTGCTAAAAATCCATTTGTTTATTTTGCCTTGCGCCTCTCATCAGGTCTCTTCCATGGGTGACAGGGGAACAAGCAATCACTCGGAAATGACTGACTTCATTCTTGTAGGCTTTAGGGTCCGCCCTGAACTCTGTATTTTCATTTTCCTACTATTTTTGCTCATATATGCCATGATCATTTTAGGGAATGTTGGGATGGTGGCCATTATTATGACTGATCCCCGGCTGAACACACCAATGTATTTCTTCCTAGGCAACCTCTCCTTTATTGATCTCTTCTACTCATCTGTTATTGCACCCAAAGCTATGACCATCTTCTTGTCTGAGAGCAAGTCCATCTCCTTTGCAGGCTGTGTGGCCCAGCTCTTTCTCTTCACGCTCTTCATTGTGACTGAGGGATTTCTCTTGGCAGCCATGGCCTATGACCGCTTCATTGCCATCTGCAACCCACTCCTCTATTCTGTTCAGATGTCAACGCGTCTCTGCAGTCAGCTGGTGGCTGGTTCCTACTTTTGTGGCTCCATCAGCTCAGTTCTTCAGACCAGCATGACATTCACTTTATCTTTCTGTGCTTCTCGAGCCATTGACCACTTTTACTGTGATACTCGTCCACTACAGAGATTATCTTGTTCTGACCTTTTAATCCATAAAGTGGTATCTTTTTCCTTATCCAGCATCATT